AAACGTTTTGCACGATGCAAAAAGGATCCCACAACCGCCATCTTTTGCTGCTTGCTAGTATAAGAGCATGCATCTTGCAGGTTCTGGAATCGAATACCCTGCAGTATCCCCCTCTGATTCTTGTGCACGGCAGCGCACCTGACCCCCACCGGATAACCAAAAACCTTAATTACACATCCTAAGAACTCCCAACAATTCGAACCGCTGGTACACTCCAACACCAGATTGTTATCATAACTCTTTTCGAAAAGTCTCACCAAGGACTCCGCCTTAGCCCTTGAGCCTGCCTCATCAAGCTTATACTTAGCAAAAACAGAGACATCATCTACAAGTTGTAACCCATGGAACAATCTTCGTTCCTTCCCTATTGACGACAGAAAAACAAGCTCTGAATGTGCGCAAAGCAAGCATGCGATAGCAGGACTAGATGGTTTTCCCATTGGAATCCCAATGACCTGGTGCAAAACGGCACCACCCACTTTGACGTAGGTATTGCGCAAGTCAAAACTTACACAGGCACGAACCATCTGAAAATCAACAGAGTCTCATCCCTCCTGTTTCTTTCCTTTCTGCAATTTCGCTCCTTTACCCAGTTTTGAAACCAACACACCATTCATTCCTTTTGATGACCAAAAATTTGTCACCCACTCAACCGCATGTAATATAGATGAATGCGGCAAGTTACAAAACATTTCCTTAATGTCAAATGTCGCTGTTACCCACCCCTCACCTTCTCCCAAATCTGCATTAATCAGTTGAATGTCGTCCCGGAGCAAATCCGTACTCTTCAGATTAAAGTGCGACCCAACAGGCAAGTCCCAAACCATCTGATTAATAACTTTCGAAACCTTCTTGTTGGCTTTAACCCCACATTCAGAGAACGAGGGACAAATAGGCCACCACTTACCCACATCCTTATGTTTCGGCATGACATATGCGTCTCCCAGTTTGCCCTTTACATTCCACTTTGCAAATTTATGAAGCCCCTACTCCTTGTATCTGCCTCCCATATCTGTCAGCAGGTCAGCCTCATCCCTGTTAACACGGCAGAACCCAGGGTTGCCTAAAAGTAATTTCGAAATTCCCTTATGGTAAATCGTTGGGCAGCACACCAAAGTATCCCCCGCGTTATGATCAATAGGCACCTTCACCAATCCCTGAATTTTTTTCTTCCATTCGAGGACTGCCTTAGTGGTGCAATCATTGCTGCCTTCTCCGTGACCATCTTGGAAACATCCCAACAGCCCCATTCCTGTGACCGAAGGAACCAAAAACTCGAGTTCCCGCATCGAACCATCCAATTCTCTCCTTAACCGTGAACTCAAATTACTCGCATCAGGCCGTGGGATGTTCTTATTATTCTTCATCCACGAAGGAACCACATCCCACTCATTTAGCCTGAAGCACACATGCCCATCTTCCCTAGGGAACGCAACATCCAGTTCCTCACACGTGCATGCCCCCTCTTCCTCTCTAGCCGTCGTCCTAAAGTCGAACAACAATTCACCTACACTCTTGTTCTTGAGCCAAACCACTCTCATCCTTTTTGACACCATTGCCTTCCATTCAAACAAGGCGTCAGCTCCCATAATCAAATTAGTGCAATGCCTGGTTTGCTCAACCTATCATCAACCGTAACTCGAACCGTAAGTCTCCCTCGCACATGCACCCCAAATCGCCTACGAATGCACCCGGAAAGGATTAAAACTCTTATCGCGTGCTAAACAGTCCTCAGCCAACACTCCCCGTACAGACGAAGAGGCCAAACACCGTGATGCAGACGAAAAATCATGAGCACCGACAGACGAAGGGGGAAGGGAAACAGTCTCCGCACTTGAAGAAGAGAAAGATCTATGTTGCCTACATAACAAGGCCAGTGACCACAAAGCAGCCGCGTTCGGGGGATTCACTAGAGTTCCGCAGAGACTTCGTCCCCGCCGCTTGTGGACTCGTCGCATGGCGATTCAATATCGACTACCTCCACCGGTTCCTTACCTTCCCTCTTCTCAAACGCATTCTTAGCTCGAAATTGCACAATGTCTTCAATCATATCGTCCACTTTCCCAGCCTTCAGCCTCGCCTCCTTGCAAATTTGTTCCAACGCAGACTTTCTCAGCATCTTCAGAAACTTGGTTTGCTCCTCAACAAACGCAGCTCAATCGTTACATCCATGCTTGGGCCCTTTCTGACGACGTTCCCGATTCAGAGTGGCCTTCTTCCCTTTTCGGGCCGTCCCAAGCGCCACAACCTCCAATCACTCCTTCAGATTCGTCCCTCCCGACATCTTGTCCCTTCCCGCTTCGTTAGCATTCAGCTCACTCATCTGCTTCTGCAGATTGATGACCTCCATCTCAGCTTGCGCCTTCTTTTTCTTAAGTGCTTCTACCTCCACGAAATCCGCCCTGCGCAGGCTTTGCAGCTTCCTATATTCCGATCTCCAGTTTTCTTGCTCCTTATCGCCCGTTCGACGCGGCCTAGGTAACGCACGCACATTGGTATCCGGAGTAGGCATCGCAATACTGCCTCGCTTGTTCCCTGGCCGTAGCGCCTCATCCTTCCATTGACGCACCTCGATACGAAGATCCTCCAACTGTTTCTTAAGCCCAGCCCAACTCCTGCTTCTTAACTGCCGATTCACGCAATTGTTGGATCTCATGTTTAAGTGTCACAATCTCATCTCTCTTACTCTCCTTATCGTTCACCTGCTTACGTAGTTCCAAAATCTTTCGCTCAAGCTTACACACCTTCCCATCATCTGAATCCCCCCGCAGCGCCCGCTTAAGCTCTTCGTTCTTCCGCTTTAGCCTGGTAATCTCGTCCTCGCCCTTCGTGCTACATTCCCCCTCGGTCTTTCGGTTGACCTTGACCGACTGGCACACCGCCTCCATTCTTTTATCGATCCTTGCCGCCATTTCTGATTCCAACCTCTCACGCTCCTTCCTCCACTCCTCCTTCCTCTGTTCCTCTTCTTTGATCATCCTAGCTCTCTCCTCCTCCTCCTTTAGCCTAGATTATTTCTCTGTGTCCGCCAGATACTTGTTATACACCTTATCGAGCCGCTCCTGATTAGTCTTCTAAAAATTGCTACGTGGCGCTCCCCCATATTCGTAACCACCATTATGATAGCCACCTCCAGTATTGCCAGTGGTCACCTGATTCGCAACCGGCATTGCGTCTCCATTTCCTGCTGGTGCCGGAAGCGCGAGTAGAGGTTGCCCAGTAGGAATAGTGTTAGTACCAGTCGCCGATAGTCGTTGACCCCCGAATCGCTGCGGGCATTCCCGGCAAAAATGATGTGACGATCCGCAGTTATAGCATCCACGAGAAGGAAACGTACCCGCTATAGTGCAAAGAGGAGATAGAGGAGAAAGAGGAGAAAGAGATACAGTAACAAGGACTAGAGGAAGAGCACGGTGTGTCTAAGAGAGTCGCCGTCTACTATCAGCCCGCAACCGAGCCACACTCCCGTAGTCTAATTTCTACGGGGGTTACAACGTTGAAAGGATGGTTGAAGTAAATTCATAAATCCCATCAAGCATCAAGAAATTTGCGAATCAAAGACACACAAGCTGAGTCCACAGGAAGTAGAGAAGAGAAGAGAAGAGATAGAAGAAGGGAGAGAGAGAGGAAAAAGAAAAACAAGCCTGCACATTGATATAAGAACCCGAACGCGACAGGATGGGATTACAAAACTTGAATGGAGCACAACCCATCAGCCCGAGCCGAAAGATGGCGACAGCACGCCAATACGTG